CACATTGCTGGGAAGGGCAACAAGGGGGGTACATGTGGACAAGGGGTATACAAGCAGCTTGTTTTCTGCCGTTGACATGGCGCTTCCCGACATGGGCTGCCAAGCCCCTTACTACAAGCCCCATGTCGGCAAGCGCCATGTTGAGTGATCTTGTTGACAAGGGCTGACAAGGGCCCTTGTTTTTGCCTTGTCTACACCATGTTGACATGGGGCCCAAAAGTTGGGATGAGGATGCTGCTGGACAGGCTGAAAAACTGAGGCCAAGATTTCTCTCCCAAAGCATCACTTGATTGTTGCAAAAAAAGTAAAAAAATGCTGCAATGCAACAATTGAATTGCAGCATGATGTGGCCATCAAAGTCAGCAGCCAATAAAAAGGGGCCACATCATGCAGCTGCTGCGGCATGTCGTGCTGAAGCCGATAGCACCGCCCTGTGCAGCAACGCGGCACGCTGCTGCGCTGCTGGTGATCCTGGATTTGGCGTGCCCGCTGAGGTGCTGAGCGGCGCGCAGCCGACCCCCGGAGCCTGGTGCGTGCAGCATCACGCTGCTGCACTCGCCGTTGCTGCTGGTGTTGGTCCCGCACCTCGCCGCGTGCTGTGGCGCAGTCGGCCTGGCGGGCGGCAGGGTCGCTCGTCGAGCCACCCTGCCAGCCTGCCGCTCTTCCTGAGAGTTGCGCCTGGCCGGACTGGCAGGCGGCTCCTCCACAGCAATTCGGGCAGGTCAGGATCGCTGAGACCGCAGGCGCCCGCCGGCCCACGCTTGGCGGGCTGCCACGATCAGCGTGAAGGCAGTGCAAGAAATGGCAAGGAGTATGGCAGCAGCGCCAAGAGCAGCAGCAATGTGCAGCCAGTAAAGCCTCAAGGCAGAGCCAGAGGCAAAAAGTCTGCTCCCTGAAATCACAGGGGTGCTGGCCCGGTCAACAGCGGCGGTCGCAGGCGGCGGCAGCGGGCGGCCATGTGAACCCCTCCGCGGTGCTGCTGCTGCTGCTGCTGCTGCCTACAACAGCCAGCAGCAGCAGCAGTAGCGGGCCCGGGCGCCGGAGCGACTCCAGCGCAATTCGGAATGCGCTGCCACGAACGTAGGCTGTGATCGCCGGACTATCAGAACTGCCTACAGTCGTTGTGAGGAGGGTTCTGGTACGGCGGAAGCGCGCAGGGAGCGCCAGAGCGAAGCACTTTGTGGCAGTTTTCAGAACTGTGTGCCGTAAATCGGGGCTGTCGCAGCACGCCAGCAGGGGGACAGAACGGGTGGCCAGAACAGGCGGTCAAGACGCGGCCAATACAGCCAGGGCGATTTCCGCCACTTTTTCTGCGTTTTTGCCCAAATTCTCTGCACCATCCCCTTCACAAAACGATTGAACGAAAAAGAATGGCGAAAAGCGGCTGAAAATTGGCGAAATTGCGCCGAGGGAGGCGTCACCAGCTGTCGCTGTATTGGCCGCGTCTTGACCGCCTGTTCTGGTCACCCGTTCTGTCCCCCTGCTGGCGTGCTGCAATCGCCCCGATTTACGGCACACAGTTCTGACAACAGCCATGAAAGAGGGGCCGGGACGTGGGCAGCAGAGCGTGCCGCGCGGCTGCGCCCCTTCAGACTGGTGTAATAGGCCACGGAGGGCCGGAAAACGTGCAGAGACCGAAAGCAGGCGCGGCAGGAGCGACAGAAAGCCGGCCGGACAGCAGGTTTCAGAGCTCAACTAATTATATAGAAGATATAGATATGATGAGGCATGCCCATTGATGCGGGGATGCTGCCCGGCGCAAAGGGGTGCTCCTGGCCAACTGTACCTCGGGCTACGTGGTCGCGTTTGATTGAAACGCCGCCTCCAGATATAGCTCCCATACACACGAGTCCCTGTCGGTCTCCCCGCCCAGGCACGCACCCCGCCGCCCCTCCGCGTCGCCGCCGCAACCAGCCTGCTCTGAAGCACGCTGCAGCTGACCCGCGCTTGCTGGCAGTGCAAGAACGGGCGGTGCGGCAGCACATCCGCGGCAGCACATCCGCGGCAGCACATTCGCGCGCACCACCCCAATCCTGCCCACCCGCCTGCCGCCCGCCGCCGCCGCCGCTGTGCAGACCCCCCCCCCCCCACCCAAGCCCCTCCCCGGCAGCAGCCATGGCGGAAGCGTCTGCGGCCCTGGACGAGCTGGCGCTGCTGGTTGTGCGCAACCTGCCGCAGGCGCTGCTCGTGGTGCTGGTCACGCTGGTGGTGGCACTTGTCGCCAAGGACGTCGTCAACGGCATGCTGCGCCGCCCCTTCCTGGACCCCAGCAAGTGGCAGCCGCTGACGCTGGTGGACGTCAAGCAGCTGTCGCACAACACGCGGCGCTTCCGCTTTGCGCTGCCGCACCAGGAGCAGGTGCTGGGGCTGCCGCTGGGGCAGCACGTCTCGCTCAAGGGCACCGCAGAGGACGGCAGCGAGGTGATGAGGTGCGCGGCGCGGCGCCCGCCGGCAGCTCCTGCCGGCGCCGCCTCCAGCGCGCCACCGCCGGCTTGCCGGCGTGCTGGCGCCGGCGCCGACGGTGCACCCTGCTGGCCTCGCCGCCGCGGTGCGTCGGGCCGGGACTTTCCAGCAGGCGAGCAGCGGCAGCGGCCCTCCACGTCCCGCCCGCCCCCTGCCCACCCCCCGCAGGCCCTACACCCCCACCTCTGAGACCACCCACCGCGGCCAGGTGGACTTTGTCATCAAGCTGTACCCCGAGGGCCAGATGAGCCATATC